GAGGAGGTGGAGTTGCTCTCTATATAAGAAATAACTACATCTCCACAGAAATAGAGTACAACAATGATAAAAACTGTCTTGAATGCATTTGGGTCAATATAAAAGGGGGGGGGGAAATGACATTGCCATAGGTGTATACTACAGACCACCCAACCAAACAGAGGAAATAGATGAACTTTTTGCCAGTCAGCTAACTAAGGTATGTAGGAAGCACATCACAATAGTAATGGGGGACTTTAACTACCCTGACATCAACTGGGAGACAAACTCCGCACCAAGTGGAAGATCAAACAGGTTCCTGGCAAACCTAGCAGACAACTTTGTCTCCCAAAAAGTAGAGAAGGGAACTAGGGGATTAGCCATCTTGGATCTAATTCTCACTAACAGAGATGAAATGATAGACGGTGTTGAAGCCATAGGAACCCTGGGAGGAAGTGATCATGCAATATTAGAATTCAACATTATAGAAGCACAAGCAATAGAACACAGTCAAACTAGAGTCTTGGACTTCAAGAGAGCTAATTTCAATAAACTTAGAGAGGGCTTGGGAAGGATTCCATGGATGAGAATCCTCAAGGGGAAAACAACTCAAGAAGCTTGGGAAATTTTGAAAAATGAGATAATAAAAGCACAGTCTAGCACAATACCAACAAAGAGGAAAAACAACAGCTCTCAAAAGAAACCAGCATGGCTGCATAAAGAACTCTCTGACAAATTGAAAGATAAAAAGGACAAGTATAGAAAGTGGAAAGAGGGGAACATAACTAAGTCAGAATATCAGCAAATAGCCCGAGCCTGCAAAGATGAAGTGAAGAAAGCCAAGGCTCAAAATGAACTAAGGCTTGCGACCAAAGTCAAAAATAACAAAAAAAGCTTCTTTCAACATGTAAAAAACAAGAAAAAAGTGAAGGAAATGATTGGTCCATTAGTGGGTGGAAGTGGCAAGAAGGTGACAAACAACAGGGAGAAAGCAGAACTATTTAACTCGTGTTTTGCATCTGTCTTTACACAAAGGGAAAAAACAGACCAACCTATCAAAAATAGTGCCATAAAAAACAAAACAGAAACACAAGTTAAGATAGGCAAGAAAATGGTTAGGGAGCACCTGTCCAGCCTAGATGAGTTCAAATCGCCAGGACCAGATGGATTACACCCCAGAGTTCTCAAGGAACTGGCAGATGTAATATCGGAGCCACTGAACTATATTTTTCAAAGATCCTGGAACACAGGGGAACTACCAGAGGACTGGAAAAGAGCTGATGTAGTTCCCATCCTCAAAAAAGGAAAAAAAATGGATCCAGGGAATTACAGACCTATCAGCCTGACCTCAATACCTGGGAAGATCCTGGAAAAGATAATCAAACAACGAATCAACGAACACCTAGAGGCAAACAAAGTCATTACTAAAAGCCAACATGGGTTTGTCAAAAATAGATCATGCCAGACAAATCTTATTGCATTCTTTGACCAAGTGACAAAATTAGTGGATCAGAGGAATGCTGTGGACATAATTTACTTGGACTTCAGTAAGGCATTTGATAAAGTAGATCACAACCTACTACTTGACAAGATAGAAAAATGTGGGGTAGACAGAACCACCACCAGATGGATCCGTAGCTGGCTGACCGGCCGTACTCAGCGAGTGGTCCTCAATGGAACTGCATCTATATGGAGGGAAGTGTGTAGTGGGGTGCCCCAGGGCTCTGTTCTGGGCCCAGTACTCTTCAACATCTTCATCAACGATTTGGATGAAGGGATAGATGGGGAACTCATCAAATTTGCAGACGACACCAAGCTGGCAGGAATAGCCAACACTCCAGAAGACAGGCTTCAGATACAGAAGGATCTGGACAGACTTGAACACTGGGCACTAACTAACAAAATGAAATTCAATGGTGAAAAAAGCAAGGTTCTACATTTAGGCAAGAAAAACCAAATGCACAAGTACAGCATAGGTGGCACCATGCTCAATAGTAGTAACTGTGAGAGGGACCTCGGAGTCCTAGTAGACAATCACTTAAATATGAGCCAGCAGTGTGCTGCAGCTGCCAAAAAGGCCAACACAGTGCTAGGCTGCATTAACAGAGGGATAGAATCAAGATCACGTGAAGTATTAATACCACTCTTAATGCCTTGGTAAGGCCACACTTGGAATACTGCATCCAGTTTTGGTCACCACGATGTAAAAAAGATGTTGAGACTCTAGAAAGAGTACAGAGAAGAGCAACAAAGATGATTAGGGGACTGGAGGCTAAAACATATAAGGAACGGTTGCTAGAATTGGGTATGTCTAGTTTAACGAAGAGAAGGACAAGGGGGGACATGATAGCAGTGTTCCAATATCTCAGGGGCTGCCATAAAGAAGAGGGAATTAAGCTATTTTCCAAAGCACCTGAAGGCAGGACAAGAAGCAACGGGTGGAAACTAATCAAGGAGAGAAGCAACCTAGAACTAAGGAGAAACTTCCTGACAGTGAGAACAATTAATCAGTGGAACAGCTTGCCTCCAGAAGCAGTAAATGCTCCAACACTGGAAGTTTTTAAGAAGAGACTGGACAGCCATTTGTCCGAAATGGTGTAGGGTTTCCTGCCCGAGCAGGGGGTTGGACTAGATGACCTCCAAGGTCCCTTCCAACTTTACTATTATTATTATTATTATCAGATCATGAGTGGATACATTTTATATTGCATTTCAGCAACAGCCTGAAACCTGGTGCTCTCCTAGTTCTCTTAGCCATACTTTCCTCTGTACAACATTGAATTAATATGGTTCTCCATTCCCCTGCCTCCTGCACTTGTATCTCTCTGCATTAGTATGACATTTTAATGTCAGTTCACAGTATGTAGACCAATTTTACTACTTTATTGAACCCATCAAACCCAACAATTGTCTGAGTTCACAGTCATACAATACATATTTATTAACTGTCTTCAATTTCAACTATTGCGATTTCAATTTAATTATTCACCATGTCTCTCACTTGGAGATTCCTTCCCCTACTGTCCCAGTCCAAGAATCAATTCTCACACAGAGTTTTTACATTGTATCTACATTGTATTTTGACCTTTAGGCCAAAATATTTGATGTTCTGTTTATACCACAGGTCGGCAACCTGTGGCTCCGGAGCCGCATGCGGCTCTTTGAGCCTTCCCCTGTGGCTCCCAGCCTCCTCTGCCTTTGCAGAGAGAGACAGAGACAGAGAGAGGCAATTGCGCTTCCCTGCTTCTCTCTCTCTCTCTCTCTCTCTCTCTCTCTCTCTCTCTGTGTGTGTGTTTTGTGTGTGTGTGTGTGTGTGTGTGTGTGTGTTTTGTGTGTGTATATGTGTAAAAGAGAGTGCACTCACATTGTTCTCCGAGGAGCTGAAAAGCTTTCTGGGCGGAGCTCCTCCCTTTGCTGCGTCTCAGCAGGAAGCAGGAAGGGCAGGAGAGAGCTAGTTAGCCCAGCTAGGCTGACTCAGGAATTCTGGGAGTTGAAGTCCATGAGTCATAAAAGAGACGAGGTTGCCTACCCCTGAGATTATTGGAGAACAACTTGAAGCTTGCCAGGTGAGCAGCAGATGGGGGGGGGAGAAAGAGAGAGACAGAAAGAGAGAGGGGGGGAGGGGGAGAGAGAGGAAAGAGAGAGAAAGAAAGAGAGTGGGGGAAGAGGAGTGGCAGACCAAGGGCAGAGAGGAGGGAGGGAGAGAGAGAGAGAGAGAGACCCTTTTGACATCTAAAATGAAGATAACACTGCATATATCCTTTTTTTACCTGTGTGTGTAATTTTATTCTCTTAAAGCATTCTCTCGGTGATCATTGTTTTAATAGTATGGATATTCCCAAGAGTCATATTTTTACTTTTATTTTTAACGTGTGTGTGTGTATGTGTGTGTGTGTGTGTGTATACACACACACACACATACACAAACTCTCTCTCTCTCTCTCTCTCTCTCACACACACACACACACCTATAATAAAGATAAAAAAGGATATATGCAGTGTTATCTTCATTTTAGATATCAAAAGGGTTTTGCGGCTCCCGGTGTTTTGTTTTTGGTGGGAAACGGGTTCAAGTGGCTCTTTGAGTGTTTTGGGTTGCCTACCCCTGGTTTATACCTTCCATGCAAATCCTACAGATCAGCTTTGAGATAACTTTGCTGGCACAAAGTTCTTCAGTTAGCCCACCTCCATGTTCTCACATATGTCCCAGGTCACCCATATCTGCCATGTCACTCACCTTTGTTTTTCTATCTAGTTTCTACCTCTGTTACTGCTTTTCACAAGACTCTCCAATTCCTGCCTCCATTCTCCAGCAGATAAGATAAAGCGGCAGCTATTCAGCCATAGATGACAGCTGCGGCTTTATCTTATAGTTCCCAAAAGATACTGGCCAAAGACAATTGTTATTTCTACTTCTGTTCCCTTGTCAATCTTTGTTGCTATGGAAGGACAACTCCATGTCAACACCAAGTCACATCACTCACCAGCACCTATTTTTTAAAACATTTTTAATTTTTGTTATTATTATCCTATTCCCTTACCTATCGGTTTTATACCATTTAACTCTCTTAACTCTTCTGATTCTTACTGCCTTCATCCTCTGTCCTATTTTCCCTTCATTATTCATTCTACGTATTACTTCAACATCAAAACCCCTTGCCAGGACAGGTGGGTGCCATTTTACAAGAATAAGCATGGGAAATGGCCCCAAACCTGTAAATGCTCAGCTGTAAATGCTTAGAATTCACTAGACAGTAGGAAAGAATTGGCCCTGTGATAGTTGGCCTTGCAGATTTAGACTAACCCAAACCTGATTCATATTCAAATCTTTTCTTATATCCTTTGGTGTGTGGAAGTCTCTTGCTAAAGCTTAGACTGTTGTTAGACTTTGTCTCTGCTTTATCACTCATGCATACCCATCTGCTTTATCAACATAAGCCTATAGGTACTTTGACATTTTTTAATAAGCAGAAAACTTGTATAATAATAGCAATAACAATGATTTCTAACTGAATACTTACCTCCAAATAGATTGAGGGTGGATTGTGTTCTCCTCCAAACTTGTCTAGTAGAGCTTCTATGTGTTCTTGGGTTAATTTAATCATCTGTTTGATATTCCACACCTAGAAAAAACAGGAAATACTTCAATATACTTAGTAAAATATATTAAAAAAAATTAAAATTAATATCTCATATACATGCTGACAACCAATTCACTTACTAATGTTGTTAGCTATGATGTTGTGTGCACCTATGTAGTCACTACATATGTAATGCAACCTAAAACAACTGCTCAATAATTTTCTATCTCTTAAACTTCACTTATATAGCACACAATGCAACCAGCAATATATTTAGTGGCTGTGAGTAGGATCCGATGCCTACTCAATAAAAGGGCATAATGCAAATGTGTGGCACAGATGATCAAGAGCACGGGTAACTATTGGAAGGTTGTAGGCTGCCATGAGAAGTAAAAAAAAAAAATCTCAGAAAGTGGCTATGGCTAATGATTTTCCTGCTGTTGCCAAGAAAACTATACAGGTAGCCATCAACTTACAACCACAACTGTGCCCAAAATTTCCATAACTAAGCAAAGATAGTTGTTAAATGAGTTTTGCCCCATTATATGACCTTTCTTGCCAGAGTTGTTAAGTGAACCACTGCAGTTATTAAGTTAATGACATGGTTGTGAAGTGAATCTGGCTTCCCATTGACATTGAAGGTCGCAAAAGGTGATCATATGACTGCAGGACAAAGGTGGTCACATGACTCCAGGACACAGGCATCCAGATTTTGATATGTGACCATGGGCATGCTGCAATGGTCTTAAGTGCAAAAAATGGTCATAAATCACTGTTTTCAGTGCCCTTGTAACTTTCAAAGGTCACTACATGAATGGTTGTAAATTGAGGAGTACCTATATAGATATATCCATGTAATCAATGAGACTAGATCTGAGAGTCCAAAGCATGAATAACTTTGTAATTGTGTTGCAAAGAAATTTCTGTAAGAAACAATGTAAACTATCTTATGTCTACTTCTATTCTTTTGTCAGCATTGATATGATTATTACTTTGGTACTGTAAAGGGAGCTATTTATAAACTACATATAAAAACAGTAACAATTAGCCAAAAACAACACTTAAGAATTTAAGTACTTGCTTCTGAAAAAAAAAAGACAATACACTGAATGTTCATGCAATCATCAGAGACTTAACCATCTGTCAAAATTTGGAGAACAGAACTCTAGAATTATTTATCTATTGGAATAACATCTTATCCTTCAGTTCTGGTGAGCACTAAAGATGGTTAATAATTATTTTAAAAGAAAACATAGTTTTAAAACTGCAGATGAAAATTAATGGAAAAAAAATCATACTGGAATTATTTTACCAATTAAAAAGCCTGGAGAAAGATAAGAATCTTTCCAATTTTAAGGGGTCCTTGGTGCTTGGTTGCTTTCCTGCAGACATTTCTTTTATTATTATTACTAGTACTAGCACTGATGGTGTTACCTATTTTGGGTGATGAAATATCTGCAAGAAAATAATATCAGAGAACACCCAGGACCTCTCATTTCAACGCTGAGCTACAAATATTCTCCTTTATTGGTACTTTCCAATTTTTCAAAACTCTGAGAGCAGCCTTCAAATATAACTCCTGACAGAGTGCCTTCTCTAGTCTGAGTACAATGCCTGCAACTTCTATCAGGAAACCTGGTCACTGACAAGCAGCACATATCACTCTGTGCAGAAATTATTTCATTCATCTATCTTGGACTGGTTAGCAACATTAACTTATATTAACTTAACTACTGCATATTCTACAACTATTCTACTTTTATATACTATTTATGACAACCTCACGTTGCCACAGCTATCACTTCTGATTCCGTTGTCAGCTGAGAATTAAAAAGTACTTCCACACTAAGAATTTGCTTTTTCAGGAAGAGTATAAGCCATTCTTGATCCTTGAGTTCAGTTTTCTATTTGTCAACTTCCATCTTATTCAGATTTAATTTCATTTTGTCCTCTCTTCTCCAATGAATTATTGCGCTAAGGCAAATTTCAAGGGGACAAATAGCTTCCTTGGAACTGAATGGAAAACCCAATAGAGCTGCTGTCATCAACATATTGATGGCGTTATGTATCAAACTACTCAAACAGCTTCATGTAGATCAGGGGTAGTCAACCTTGGCTCTTTTATGACTTGTGGACTTCAACTCCCAGAATTCCTGAGCCAGGAGAAGAGAGGACAAAATTCTGGGAATTGAAGTCCATGAGTCATAAAAGAACCAAGGTTGACTTACCCCTGATGTAGATGTTAAAAAGCATGAGAGATAAGATGGAACCCTTTGGGAGGCCATACCTCAATGTTCTAAGTGTCAATTAATAGTCCCCTATTCTGGGGACATGGCCCAACAAAAAAGACCAGAAGAATAGTAAAAAAAAAAGCCCAGCGAATTTGGGGAAGACAGACCTGGGAGAGTAACCAGATCTTTGTGATATATGAAAAGTCAATGCTTTTACTAAGGTTTAAATTCTGTATAACAGATGTTTTATCAGCAACTGGTTTTAAAATAATAAGATTTTCAGGTAAGGAAGGGCTACATTATTATTATCTTGACTTCTTTTCTTAGATGGCATCTGAAAGGAAAAAAGTTGAGCCACAAAAATACTTAAGCACATTTTAAGGAGATTCATATTTATTCTTTCTTGGAAATCCACTGTGAATAATGTTTGCTCTTCCTTTCAAATCAAATTTAAGAGCTAGGTTGTCATACTTCATATCATCACAAAGTTATACTGAACTTAATGGTGAAAATGTATAAACACTCACTTTTTTACCTCAGTAGCTAGTACTGTTCCTTCTACTGCAAGGACATGCCATGTGGTACTCTTACCATAATAACTTAGTAAGTAGTTATTTCAACATTTATATGAAATAAAACTTCAGTATCATTATGAGAAAATGTGGGCATCTAGAAAATGGAACAGCTGTTGCAGGAAGAAAAATACTTGAACCATTCATTATGTGTGGACTACATAACTTCATTTTGATTCACATGCTTTTATTACTCTTTCTATATTCTAGGCAATTAGGGAAGCAAAGAAACTTTTAAAACAGAGATCTGAATAAATGTGTGGCCAGCAATTTTATCAAATCTTCAATAACTATTTTGTTCAGTGCAAATCATTCTGTTAGCAGTCTCAAATATGTTTATAAGCATACATAAATATAATTTTGCTTGAATTTTTCTGTAAACCTCATTTACATTGCAAGGCTTTAGAGAAATCCAGAAATAATGCTTTCTAAGAAAGTGAAGGCACAAATATATGTTCAGTAATAATTCATAATTTACTCCAGGAATAATATTTGAGCATGAAGTTATGGTAATTGGAAACAGAACAATAAAGTATTAAAAATGGAAATTTGTTCCCTCCACTATAGTTACAGTATCAACTTACAATAAACTTCTGAGGTATCTTAAAGATTCAAGATTTGAATGATACATACCAATTCTGTTGCAAGAAACAAAAACAGTTTACCATTTAGGACCTGTATGACAGGATGAATATTTTTAAAACTAAACCTTTTCTGTAAAGAATAAGAAACTCATATTTGAAACAAAATTCACTATGAAATTTGCTATGAAATAAGGAAAGCAAAGGAAAGGAAAGGAAAGGAAAGGAAAGGAAATCAAGACATCAATGGTCTTTGTGAAAAGGTAAATTAACTTTCTTATTTTTATATCTCTAAACTTCTATCCCATATTATTTGTTCAAAGGTTATTATTAAAACTGTTTATAAATAGTTGTCAAATAAATGAGCAACACTATATAATGCTCCCCTCTCTTGTGTACAACACTACCAGGAAGCGAAAAAAAGAGAAGATAAAATTTAAAAGAACAGACTTCCATCATTTGAGGATGGTGGCAATAATATTTAAAGTTATATTTATCCCCAAAATAAACTTAGAGGAAATCATGTCAAAATAAACACAGTCTCAAAACAGCTGGTACAAAAATACAAGTTGGACCAAGGCACTTACAGCCATTGCTGCTATTTAGTCATTGAGAAACACCTGCTTTTTTCAAGGAGAGTACAACCCCTTCCCCAAACAAGTGTAATATTTTCAATATTGAATCAGTAGTTGTTATATTTGTTACCATTTATAGGAAGGGAATACAATGACAAGGTAGTTTCGATTTTTTTTATTACATTCAAAGTCTGATACAACAATCAAGAGTTTAATGTATTATTAGCTGACTGTAACATCTCCCCATTTAAAACACTTATTTTATTAAATAATCTGAACGAAATAAAGAGTATTTATACACATTTGATTCTAATTATTGTTCAGAATAAGAACAGTTGCAGGAATTGTATTTGTCTAGCATAGTAAAAAGAAGGACTAGGGGTGAGATGATAACAGTGTTTCAATATTTGAGGAGCTGCCACAAACAAGTGGGGGTCAACCTATTTTCCAAAGCACCAGAAGACAAGATAAGAAACAATGGATGGAAACTAATCAAGGAGAGAAGCAACCTAGAACTAAGGAGAAATTTCCTAACACTGAGAACAATTAACCAGCGGAATCACTTGCCTTCAGAAGTTGTGGATGCTATATCACTGGAGGCTTTTAAGAAGAGACTGGATAGCCAATTTTGGAATGGTATAGGGTGGACTAGAAGACCTCCAAGGTCCCTTCCAACTCTGTTATTCTGTTCTCCAAAAACTTATTTGAATCCTAGACAAGATTCAGGTATTTAGAGAGTAAAATAAAACAAGTCTTGAATTGCTGTTTACTTTTAATGGCATAATGGGCTAGCTCTATCCATTATAATTGCATAAACAGACACACTGTAACAATAAATTAGTTTTTCTTCTCAATTACTACAATAATTTGGGAGGGGAAGGTACTTTCCATCATGTGCATGGCAGGTTTATTATGAAATAATAACTTTATACTTATTCCTTGAATAACCCTACAGCATAAAGATGAGTTGGCAAGCTATGTAATTTTCAATTACCAACCTAGTTTAGACATTATTCAGGTGATGTCAATTACAAGAAATTCATTCCAAGACATAGGTTACTGAATTTGCTCTTGGCCCGTCACTAACTGCCTCGCTGAGCTCAATCCATTTCCAGCTGCATTCTGTTTAATAAAGGTTTCTCAGACGAGACCATTGTGGAAACACAATTCACAACTATCAGGCTAAATGAAAGCCACCAAGAGAAGCATTCTGGTTTTGCTGACAAATCTGGGCTATATAAGTAAGTGAATTATCAAACACCAGGCAGACAACATTCCACCAGTGGTACATCCAGACAGATTAATCCTTAGTTACACAGACTACAGTTATAGAATACACATGCAAACAAACAAATCAAGATGTCCTCTTCAAATCATGTATTGCATGTTATTTACTATTAATCACCATATTGATTAATCAAGCCAAAAAACAGACATATAACATAATTTAAAAAGCAAAATCGTCTGGAATCACATGCATTCACAAAATCGTCTGGAATCACATGCATTCACAAATAATCCACCCACAGCTTCAAAACAAAAGATTAGCTGAACTTTCTTGAAAGGTAAAATAATCCTGATATACAGTGATATGGAAAGTATTTATGGATAATTATAAATTGTTTTACCAAAACAAGCCCTACACTAGTCAATAGATTTTATCTTTAAAAACAACATGAATCAATAGTTTCCCTTAGGCAACTAACATGTGAAATCATACACCCGTTAGTTTAACATCAAAAAACAAATAAGCTAGACACATGGAGAAGTCTTGCTGAAGGGAATCAGCATGGAATCTGCAAAACTAAATCTTGCCTCACCAATTTCTAAATTTTTTTGAGAATGTGTATGATTTTGCACAGATGTAGACAAACCTGTCAACATTGTGCACTTGGAATTTCAGAGACTCTTTGCAAAAGTTCCTCATCAAAGGCTGTTAAGTAAACTTGGCACTCTGGATGGAAGATGATTTGTTCTTTTATGACTTTCTAAATGGATAAAACAAAGCCAAGGGGCAGGAAGAAATAGGCATTTTTTTCAAACGAAGAAATTAAAAAAGAGAATTTTTCAAGAATCTGTGTTGAGGTAAATGCTTTTTAGCTAGTAGATAATTCTGACTGATGAGAAAGAAATGAGTTAGTTTATATACGATATTAAATTATTCAGGAAAGTTACAACCAAAATGATCATCAGAAGCTCCAGAAGGATTTCTTTAGACTGAGAAAATGATCAATTGAATAGCACAGGGTTTATCAACCTTTTCACCCATTGTACCACTTTTAGGATATGGCAATATCCGAGTATCACCAGTCACCTAGCAAGGTGTCAAAAACTTGATGACCAAAAAAAAAAAAAAAAAAGGAAAACAGTGATGAAGTACAAGTAGTCTTCAACTTACAACAGTTCGCTTAGTGACTGTTCAAAGTTACAATGGCACTGAAAAAGTGCCCCCCAAGCCACAGCCACGCAAGACACCTGCCTGCCCACCCGGCAGTGCTCTTCCTCCTGTCCGAGGTTTTCATTGTTGTAAGCATTTCTGTTGAGGATTGGCAGCAGGGGTGGGGTGAGAGGGTGTTTGGTTTTTATTCCCCCCGTCTGCTGGGTGGTTGCAGCAGGTTTTGGTCACTTCACATGACCCTGGGACACTGTGACCGTCATAAACATGAATCAGTTGCCAAGCATCTGAATGTAAATCACAAGACCCTGGAGATGCAACATTCCAGCTGATCAGCGCTTCTTCTGGGCTCAGCAGAAGCACCAGAATCAGTACCAAGCTCCAGCTGCAGCCTGGCGCTGATCCTGGCACTTCCACTGAGCCCTGACAGCCCTGAAGAAGTGCTGATCCTGGCGCTTCCGCTGAGCCTTGACAGCCCTGTAGCTCCAGCTGTCTCTCACTCAGGTTTGTACGGTACTGCCACTGGTTCAGCTCATTCCCCTCCCCCACTATCACTTTTCTAGGATGGTCGGGTACCACCTGCCAGGTGCCAATGTACCACAGGTGGTACCCGTACCACTGGTTGAAAAGCCTTGGAATAGTAAACATGATTAAATTTATCTGTGCTGAATGGTGCACATAAGGGCAAAAGCCAAATTCATGTTTCCTGTTCTAAGATCTTGATGTAACGGTGGATATCTCAATGAAGATGCTGATCAATTTGCAGCAGCAGTAAAAAGGCAAATTCCATGGAAGAGTTCATCAGGAAAGGAATTGAAAACAAAACTATCAACAATATAGTACAAGTATGCAGAGTGGTGGAATAGTTTAATAAAACAATATAACAACGTGGAAAAATTGCACAAGAGGGCAATGAAAATCATCAAAGAACTCAACCATCTTACAAGAAAATTTAGAAAGTCTAGAACTTCAGTGTAAAGAAAAGTTAACTAAGGGCAGACATGATTTGTTTGTTTATTAGATTTGTGTACCATCCATCTTCACCAAATACATGGTTGAATTGTATAAAATCATACATGATATGGAAAACATGGATGAATGGACATAAATTTTTTATTCCTCTTTTAAAACACTTAGAAGCAGAGATTATCCAATGAAACTGAAAGGAAGATATTTTGAACAGAAAAATTACTTTCCATAGTGCATAATTAACCTATATTTATAACCATTCATCAGATGACTTTAAAAATAGTTTGGTTAATTCAAGGAGGACAGGCCTACTGAGAGCTATTAGCTTTGAAGATTTAATGGGACCACTGGACTGGGACAGCATAGATCCAAATATTACTTTGCAGAAGAGAAATACGTCTGCTGTTGTTTAATACCTCAGAGGCTAGTAAGCTTCTGTGAGAAAATGCTGGATGAATATTATCTTTAGCCTATTACAGCAGAGATTGTTTTGTTATTAAATTATTATTAAAAATATCAAATATACAAAACAACCTGGAGTAATTCTTATGGAACTGTATCATATCCATTGTACTGCTTTATTATATCTTTATCTTCAAGTTGCTATTATTCCTATGGAAATGAAATTATAAATACAGTAATTGTGGATATTCATTCCAAAAACCTATTTAAGCTTAATCTCTTTCCAACCATATTCTGCATATAATTTAAAAGCTACACTGGTTTTCTCCAAAGACACTACATAGCACAATATAAAAATAACTGATGCATATTTGACAAATGAAATTCATACTAAGTACCGTAAATGCCGGCGTACAAGGAGACCCGGCGTATAAGACGACCCCCGTCTTTATAGCCGGGCCGCATTCCTAGAACGTCGTCTTATACGCCGGAAACTACCAGTATTTCCGGCGTATAAGACGACTCGGCGTATAAGACGACCCCTGTCTTTGGCGCCGATTTCAGCGCTCGCAGAAGTCGTCTTATACGCCAGCATTTACGGTAGTTATGCAAAAAGTAAAATGTACCTAAAAATAATTCAGCAAATCACACTTGCATGTATTTATAAAACTATTCCCCTTTATTCCTACCTCAGTATGTTATTTTAGAGCTAGATAGTTAGTAAAAATATTCAGATGAATAAAATAATCAACTTTTGCCTTAAAAGGAGCATTACAGATTTTTGCACTGAATCCAGTTTTGGGTACTAAGAATAATCTGTTGCATCTTTTGTCAACAAGAACCAAACACCAAGAGACTTGTCCCATTTGTGCTAAGGTCCTGTTCAGAGGGCACCTGAGTATACTTGTTTGTGAAAAAGTTTGTGCAATCTTTTAATGCCTCTGACTTAAAAGGTAGCAGTTCAACCTTTCTTTTAATTCCATAAATTGTTAAAATACAGCCCCTCCCCTGCCTATTTATCTGAGACAGCTATACAAAACACAAACAGGTATATCTTCTCTCCTTGCACTTTTTGCCCTCTTGGGGTAATGCATTAGGGCCAAAAGATGTCATTATGACACTTGTGGGGGAAAGGGATGAAGAACTGATAGGATAATGTTATTGACAGAGTTCCTGCAGTTACATCTATTCTTGGCAGACAATTACTACTAAGAATCAAGCAGAAGGAAGAAAAGACTTAGAGAAGAGAAATCCAGAGTATTCTACTCTATAGAAAATAAACAATTCAGCAGTATTTCCTCTGGCTGGTGATTCTGATGGAAAGTCACTGAATTAAACTTTTTTTTTTCGGGGGGGGGGTTCACTACTGTATTTTCACAATCAGGTTTTCCAAGGTTACTATTTAAGCTGTGTCTCTACCAACAGTTCACTGGGACAGCACTACTGCAGCCTTCCCCAACTTGATCCCCTCCTGTGAAATTGGAGGACACCTTCCACCATCCCTGTCATCCTGCAGAGCTAATGGAAACTGCAGTGCAATAAAAGGGGAAGGCACTAGGTTGGGAAAAGCTGTATTAGCAGGAGACGGTTTTCCTTTGACGAGGTTCTATTAAGGATCCTTTTTCACGCTGGCCAAGTGGGGCAGCTACGATATCGACCCCCTTCCGCCTAAGCATCTCCGGGTGCCTAACATCTTGCCTTTGGCTTCATCGCCTCGCAAAGCCGTCCGGGGCTTCGGACAACATCCTTCCCCCTCCGACTCATTACCGCTCCTCAGCTTAAGCCCCTGCAGACACCCCAGTGCGCCGCGGTTAAGGCAGCCGGGCTTCCACACCCGGGACTCTCCAGGAGAGAGAAAGCGGCGCGTTGAGATGCCAAGCCCGGCCTTGCCCTGCCTCACACCCCCCCTCCTCGCGCACCTCACGATACTGCAGCCCTCACCTCCTCCGGGATGGCAGAGTCGCCTCCGGCGCTGCCGCTACCCCCGGCGTAGGAGGGCCCGGGCGGAGGCGGCTCAGGTTCCATGTCTCCGTTGAAAAGCGTTGCCCCCTCGGCGCTGCCGCTGCTGCTCAGCGCCGCCATCTTGGATCGAAGCGCTGAGGGAGAGGAGGGGGCCAAGAGGGGGGACGGGGAGGAGGAGGGAGAAGGGGAGGCCCAGCCGTGTCGCTCCTGTCGATCCAGCCGCCCCCAGATGCGGAAAGGAGGGGGGGGGTGGAACGAGGGCAGAAGAACGGGGCAGAAGAAGCTCCCCAAGCCACCCAATCCTCCAGGCAGGGAGGCAGGAGCGCGACGTCACGCCCGTGACGTCACCCAGAATCGCCGCGGCGCGGGTGCGCATGTCCAGCAGAACGTCACCGGGAAACACCCTGACATCACGACGCGCCCCCTCTTCTCTACGTCATCTAGGGAAACCTTAGATGCGCGGAATGGCTTCACCACGCCCCCCAATCGGGGCACGTTTGTTGGGATAAGTGGCTTTTTTCTTCCTCGAGCTCCGATCGGCTGAACTACACCGATGCGTTTAAAGGCAAGCTGTTGTAGAACTACCAGATCTGGAATGCAAAAATCTCGGCGACCCCTCGATGGCAGCAAAGAGAGTGTTCATATCTCTTTGCTGCAGTCTAGATCTTCGCAGCCCGGATCTAATCGCACCAGATACTGCTTAGTAAGGAAGCGCTGCTTTAACCAACATTTAACAAGTAAAGCTAAAAAAATGAGCATTCTCCCAAACGCAAAATAGAAATAAGCATTGTTCTGAAACATGGCAATCAAATCTCCCACGCTCTGAAATGAGAATGATATTAGTGAAAAACCTGAGTTTTCTCATAAATATTGCCTCAACAGCCTCCTAGCTAGTCTCCATGATCTGAAGAACTGATCTTCAGCTACATGGAAATAAAATATTTTAGATTAACTTCTGTCATTTGTGTCCTATTCTTATGAAGATTACAGTAATATTTTATGTTTAAAACAATTTTAAAGCGTGAGAAAATAATTTATTCACCTGGTTCATAACTGTCTGTCTTATTTCTGTACTTGATTATTCTACATCATGTAAACTATTCCCTAGATGAATTATCTGAAAAATACTGTTTGAGGTGATACTTTAAATACATTGCTAAGAAAATATGCATGCATGTACTGCATGTATTATTAGCATTTTACAGGCTACTCCAGGTGCAAATGTCCCTAAGTGGCATACATTCCAAAGGCTATACATTAAGTAAAACAAAACAGTAAAAACTATGCATAATAATAATATCCAAATATTATTTGGAGGTCATATAGAACCTGGATAATCAAATTAATGAATTCTGTTAAGTGAAAAAAAACCCCAACCCCTTCCCCACAAACTCACAATATTTCCCAAAAACCTGGTGGAATAACTCAGTTGAGAGCATTTTGCCCTGTATGGTACTCCACAACTTTAATATTTAATTAATATTTATATGTTACTTGTATGTAAGGGTGTAGGTCTATACGTATGTTGTTTATAGTATGTTTAAATGTTACGTATGTGTACACTTTGAGAGCAAGCAACTAAATTTCATTTTTAATGTGTGTCATTGTGCCCACAGTAAAAAAAAATGACAATAAAGGCTATCTATTTACCTACCTACCTACCATCTATTATCTATCTATCTAACCGAATTGCCTAAGGTTCAGTCTTTTCACCATCACTAACACTACCTTTATCAGTAGCCTCCCCACCACCATCACTCCTCCCCTTTCTCTTCTCCCTTGCTTTGGCATTTCCTTTCTTCTTGCTTAGCAGAGATATCGCGATTGCTTGCTACTTTTCCATTCCTTGCGTGGCAGATAGGAGAGTGTAGCATGAAGAAATATATGGAGGTCTAAAGGTAATATATTGCCCAAGCCTCCATAACTCTGAAAGACAACATTATACACCACTCTTTATTCTGTCCCTTTAAATTTTTTAATAAATTTAAACAATATGACAAAACATACATTGCAACCTAAAGATAAAACTTGAGCTTTTTGTACTTGTATCTCAACACTAGACAAAACTATCCCGATCACAGTTTTGCATTGTGATGATATGACATACATTTTGTTACTTTCCCTCTCTTGCCAATGCATAGAAATTGATGGAAACTTGCAGGAAAGCAAGGATGAGGGTTTAATTATAAATGTGTGTGCTGTGGCTGGGAAACTGTTACCAATCTTTAGGTGGTGTACCAATTATAGCCCTACCTATAGCAAGAAACCCTGGGGCAGTAACTCATACATTATTGTTCTTGTACTCATATGAACCACTTGAGTGTGCTAAATATGAGGTTGCCTTTGAAGATTCAAATCTGCAATTTGTACAAAATATAATAACATGAATATTGACAGGTGAAAATCATTAACGCTACATAACACTTGTGCTACAAATGTAAGAGATGGTCTTAATGTCCTATATTACTTGAGTTAAGATACTTGAGGGCTGTCTGAGGCAGAACCTACCATTCTGTATATTAAATCCAGGTGACAAAGTTTAGGATACTTTACTTTGTCAAATGAGATGCATGGAGGCTCAGGAATCTCCCCCTGAGCTCTTTCATAGGCGTTTGGAATCTAATAATTTGTATGGTTGTATACCATCATAGTTGCTTTTCTGTTATATTGTGTAATATTATATTATTACTTACCTGTTTCATTGTGTTGATTTTGAATAAACTGCAACATGTTGGTTGAAATAAGCATCTTACAAGATAGATAAACAAGTAACTTTTGGCTCTATTCAGATACATATTCCTATCAAAAAGCAGGCGACTCATCCAGCATTGTAAGGCTAGCCTGAAAGATGCACATTTATAGAAATATCCTTCTGTATATGGATTTTCAGTACCAGACTTTTTTTCCATTGGTATATCTAATTAATTTATTCTTTTAGAACCATGCTTTTTACTATTTAAAGGAATATTTAGGTATCTTTTAGGAAGAACTCTATGGTTTAGTTCATGCACTTTTGTACCATATTGTGATTTGTTTGGTTGTGAATGAACCAAACTAATTTTAGCTTAGATAGATTATGCCAAAGGCTGGGTAAACACACTGCATAGTGTTTTGCATGAATATAAACCAGAAAGGGGAAATTTATGACTTTCCAGATAATAGCAGACTGCAACTCCCATAATCTTTTATTTTTGGACATGGTGAGGAAGAGTTCAGCAGAGCTTCTATTCCCCAATATATGTCCCAGAATGCCATGGTTAAAAAAAATCTGCATGGGTCTTTTTCTGGTTCATACTTACCTTCCCTCCTGACCAGAGAAAAAGTGGGTTGGAAAGAATATTTGAAAAAATGCTGAACATCAGTTTTGTCTTCTTTTAGCATTGTAACAAATTTGGGAGTTCTCTGACTCATAAGAGTTGGCCATATTCTTTTATGGCTCTTTCTTGGTTATTATGTACATTGATGCAACCCTTGGGAAAACCATAGCAATAAAAGATATATATGTGATGTCGAATTATATTCCAACAATTTGGAAGTTAATATTTTATGATGAACTATGGCTCTATGAACCCTGGTGTTAGGAAAACAAAATTATCCTGCATTGGTAGAATGAAATCTGCACTCCAAATGTTAAACAAAGAACTCAAGAAATTCACATCAAGTTTTGAAATATCTTTCGATAGTAATGTCTTTAGAAAATGAAGTAATACAGCTCAACGTGGTCTAGATTTAAGACTATTAAAGAGCTGAACTAGTTCAAAATTATATTGATCTTGTTTTAAGTTTTAGTTTATTTTAATAATAAACAATGTATCACTTTTTCTAACTGTATCACAACTGTTGTGCTTTTTTTTAACTTTATTACATTTGACTAACATTTTTTTTACGACATCTACCCATGATGTAAATACTAGTCATAAGGATAAAGCCAACTGTATGGAATGTTTCCACAGAATACTTACCCTCCCTCCTAACCAGAGGAAAAAAATGGGTTGGAAAGACTGAAATGATTGGACTCACCTCTGTAGTTTTGGTATCTATGTTGATAAGACAGATTAATTACACTGACATCATAGGGCAAAGATTCCAGTCCTGAAATGGGAAGGAACCTTCTATTGGATGGGAAAAAATCCCCTTCAAACTAAAGTACTAAATAAAGCCGCCACTTGTTCCAAGATGTTTTATTAAATATATTTGTTGCCTAATAGTGCTTCTATTTCTTCAGAGCTCTCTTTCCTTCCCCTTTCTTGGGGGGTCCTTTTCCACGCAGCCTTCTCAATCGTTTCATCTCATCTTTAAAATCTTCATGTTCATCCCTAAATCAAAAGGGCAAACGCAAGGAATGAGTCAAAGTATACATTCGCTTTATTTAATCTCAGATTAGAATGATTTCCAGTTTTAACCAATGGGCAAGTTGAGATGAAGCAACATACAGTATTTTAATGTTCTTAAATGTTAAAGCTAATACCATCCTTGGTTGTATAGACAGAGGCATGGAAGCTAAATCACGTGAAATATTAGCACTGCTTTATAAAGCCTTAGTAAGAACACACCTTGAACACTGCACCCGGTGTTGGTCACCACGTTACAAAAAGGATGTTGAAACTTTGGAAAAAGTGCAGAGAAGAGCAATTAAGATGATTAAAGGCCTGGAGACTAACACAGATGAAGAAAAGTTGCAGGATTTGGGTATGGCTAGTCTAGAGAAAATAAAGACTAGGGGTGACATAGCAGTATTACAGTATTTGAGGGGCTGCCACAAAGAACAGCGGGTCAACTTGTCCCAAAGATGCCTTTTTTCCATGAGGAAACTGGACTTTCTTGTTTTCTTTGAAGATGTTTTGCTTTTCATCCAAGAAGCTTCTTTAGCTCTGACTGGATGGTGACGAATGGAAGGATTTATACTCCTTACAGACAGTGGGTCATTTGCATCTGGTGGCCTCCAAATTTACTGGAGTATAATTTTCATCTTCAGCAAACATGTGATGATAAGAGTGATAAATTTCAGTATGATGCCTTTTAGAAATACAGGAAAACTGATCTGACTAAGTTGGCAGCAGTTATGGAGATGGACTGAATCATTAACCTATGATTCTTTTCTAAACAGCAGTTCTAATGCCAATCTGTAGTTTTGTACACATGGCATACTTATTTTTTCTTGACTCCATTTTCTGAATTTGCACAACTTACTGAACCAACAGGTAACTGTATTTAGGGATAAATCTATTTCCCAAATAGCATTAGATTTCCAGATCTTTTAAAAGCTTTTCCTAGCTTTGGTTCTGTTTCCCAATCTCAGCCACTTTATGATATGTGGACTCCAGTCTCTAGAACTCCCATAATAGGATGGCTATTGCTAAGAATGCTAGAAATTGAAGTCCATACATCTTAAATTTGCTGAGTTTGGGATACACAGATCTAACTGAAAATGGGACATGAAGAACCTATTCAACCACTGAATTCTGGTTCTTGCCTATGACACAGGAAACAATAATATTTCATGGACTCCTTTGTGAATCTACAGAGAAGCTTTTGAAAAGGAAAACCAGCCTGGAACTACTGGTAGTCAGACACAATTAACAATATTTTCTTTTTTTTAAATGGAACATCAATTAGCAACTAGTAAATGATTTAAAGCCAAGTAAAAAGATATGAACGTGAAACAGAAGACCACTCTCACTTTTAGTGACGATTTCTTAAATTATTCATGCCCTCGTTTAGGAAGTGTATGCCAAGAGTCAACTTGAGTAGGCAGATGTAATGAAAAACATATCCTAGAGTGCGAATCTTTTCATTAAAGCATAATTATTCTCACCAGCAGAAAAGTACTGATTGTACCCTATAATTTTCAGTCACAAGATTCTGAAA